TTCGATACAGAATTCTCGAGACAGGCCAAAATGCCTAAGCTTATTCCGATCCAGTCTTTCTCAACACAGCCTTGGAAGAATCTGTTATCTGTCAATGTGTATTTAGCGCTCTGTTCAGGTTCCAGTCACTGGCCATTCATTGTGACCTTGTCAGTCAGTACGGCTGCATAACCTAGCACACGGACCGCGCGAATACGTTTAGCGCTCCTTTGACCTTGAAACCACCACGTTCGCCTGACCGATGTGCGCCGCTCTCAAAGCTGTAAAACTATAGAACGCTAACCAACCCACTGGGTCAGGTAACGACACACAATTGAATGATGGAAAGGCGAAACCGAAGGGACTCCCATCGAAAGGCATTTGCGAGTTAGGAGAATGTTATCGGGTAGTAAACATCGGTTTACCATGTTCGCACTGCTTGGAATGGTACCATACGAAATTTGTAAATGTGTCCCAACAACAGTTACGGGAGCGAACTAGCTCTCAAGGTGCATTTTGGTTCTGTACTGCGTGTTCCACCATCCCCCTCGTTAAGTGCGTGCTTACTCTAGCTAAGATATGCGAGCGGGTAATCACAGAAGCAGAGTAGAGGATAAACAATAAGATTAATTTAATGGAAGCGAGTACGGGCCAGAGAAGCCTAGCGGCTGCTAAGCAAAAGAATGCTGAACAATCCGCTTCTCCTAAACCTCAGTCAGCCACGTCTCCATCTCCGTAGTCTTCGCCAACTTTGGTAGAACGCCGGGTAAAAACAAACTCTACCTCCGTGAAGCAAACAGCACAAACGGCAGCAAAACTCAGGCGCAGTTTAAAACGTTTGGTTAAGCAACTCCTACTAGAGCTGGCATCTAGCATTAACAAGGATGAAGCAGCCAAACACCAACCATCGGTACCTGTAGCTCTAATATATCTTTTCGAGGCTAAGCCTCCCAGAACCTCGGGTACATATGCAGAGATGACTGCAAGGGTCCACCAACAGGCCGCCGTTGCGTCCTCTTCCTATGTAAACACAGTTAACGCAAATGGAGAGATAAACAGCAAAGAATCACTTGTCAACGAGTCAGGACAAATGAGTACCCTACCTTGTAGATCGACGTAAAGGTGATCCAACAACAGTTCCCGGACGGTTGTATGCTCAAACGTCACTGAATCCACCGCCATCACATTGCGGGATAAGTTATCAGACGACCGATACCGATGGAACTCATTGTGTATGCAGATGAGTATCAAAGCCAAGCCCATAAACTTGTTACGAATTACTCGTCATCCGAACTCGCCACACTATGGTGAACCCAGACTTATTCGAGTAATTTTAGAATCCTCCACCGACGTAGAAAATGTTTCGCTCTTTGCAAGCGCGCTTATACAGGAATTCTGTGGGAGACGTATCTATCCTGATGCCCCTTGGAGCGCGCGAATACCAAAACGAAACACCGAAGAGGGGCACAGCAAGCAAGACCGCCTAAATACAATCTTCATACATGGCTTGCCAGAACCTCCTTCTAACAATGTTCAAGAGACCGGAACGCACGATTTAGAACAGTGGCGGTTCATTCGTGAAACACTCGTTGGATAATGTTATGGCACTATCGCTCACCAGGACACCCGTCTCACCGAATTATAGAGGATACGGCCCTAGAATCCTAAAACTTGTGGTTCGGTCAGAGCAACGAGCGAAGGATGTTTTGGAACAATGGCGGAGAAATCGGAAACATCTGCCTTCCGAAATTCGGTTAAAGGTCGCAAACACTTTACACAGCTCAAATAGTACAGCAACTGAAACAGCAAGTATACCGACTAATGTACAAAAGCCTAACTTGACTTCTGCTTAAATTGACTCTGAAATAAGGCTAAAGGAAGGTTGGGACGCACCTTGGCCGAATCAAGTTGCAAACAAGGTATCATTATCTCACCAAAAAACGAGTAACTGCCGACCTCACGTCGGTCGGCAATATCCCACACTTGACAGATTTACCTCTCTGCTGGCTCCTAGAGACCGAGAAACTGGCCTGCTTGTACACAAATGCTCCAGGTCTTCCTAACAAACTGGCTGAACTGAAAGATCGCCAAGCTCCCGGCTCGTATGAGGTCATTGGTATCACCGAGACATGGTTACACACGGGAATGACGGACGCTGAAGTTTCGCTACCGGGCATGTCGCTAATCCGGAACGACAGGCTCACAAAAGGAGGAAAGGTGATCCTGTATTACCGAAACAACTCAAAATGCGAAGCCGCTGAGGATTCAGACTCGCAGTTCCCTGACTGTCTTTGGTGCCGATTGCAGTTAAAAGGCAGGGACGCTTGCCTTATTGTCTTGGTGTACCGCGCCCCTAACTCAACACTCAAAACCGACTACCACCTAGCGGCTGCTTTAAGGGGCAGTTTACAACAAAAGTACACTCACGTTCTTTTCATGGGTGATTTCAACGTACACTGTTTAGAAGCCATGATCGGTGAATAATTCAAAACCGATCTACGAGATCTAGTAACTACTGTTCCTCTTTACCACCACATCACTTGCCCACTCGGTTCAGAACTGTTAACAGACCATCTGTGCTGAATCATATGCATACCAACGAGAGCATATGATTGATGCTTTGGTTTTAGACTACCCGTTGGGTCGCAGCGATCAAGCAGTCATCAGTTTCAAATTCGTCTGCTATGCAGAATATCTGAATTATAACGATGCGACTGTGCGAACCATCACAAGGTACGACTGACTCGCACAGCTACTCAGCGCCATAACATTGTCTTTCCTCGAAGAAGAACCCCCGGAACTCGCCTGGCTCGTGTTCGTCAAAATATTCACTCAGCTGATTGCACAAGCTTCAGAGCGATAAAAGCTTGCAATAAGTGCAAATCAGTTTCTTTCGTTGGGAGCAGTACTCGCAAATGGTTGACAGTACGCAACGCAGCATGGCGAGTGAACAGAGAAGCTCCAGCGCCAGCAAATTGGAACGACTACGTAGCCCAACGTAACCATTGCACTCAACTGTTAAGAGAAGACAAAGCCGCCTTTCAGCAGAACATTGCAAAAACCTTCAGTTCTAACCACAAGCTGCTGTACAAACATGTTAATAGCTTACGATAGGTGAGGCAAGGATTTCCTCCAATCAAGGCGGCTGCTGGCCCGACAAGAACGGCTATGGAAGCTGCAAACGCGCTGCAGATGTACTACGCCCCCACGTTTCGAACAGTCTTGCCACCAAGCGATCTACCAAGCCTGGTATTCTGGTCACCAGGACTAACCCACATCAATTTTACCGAAGAGGCTGTATTGCAGAAACTGACTTCTCTACGCAAACACAGCTCACCTGGTATCGAAAACATTCGTCCAGAGGCATTGGGAGCAGCAGCAAGCCAACTGGCAGTACGTTTAGCTCAGTTATTCCAGCGCATATTGGACCAGCATCAAGTTCCTGCCATGGGGATGCTTGGAATAATAACCCCGATTCACAAAGGGGGAAGCAGAACTGATCCCTCCAACTACCGCCCAGTAACTCTTCTTCCTATACTCTCCAAGGTCATGGAATCCATAGTTGCCGATGCACTGGTGTGCTATCTAGAAAACTGCAACCCCATCACTCCTGAACAGCACGGTTTCCGTCGACAGCGGTCCTGTACAACTAATTTACTAATTGCACACAGTAGTTGGACCGAGGCAGCTGAGGCTGGAGAAGGTGTTGATGTGAACTACCTGGATTTTTCCACGGCTTTCGATCGTCTAGACCATCGGATACTACTATCGAAGCTGCGGCATTACAAGATCGGAGACCCTCTTTTAGGCTGGATCGCCAACTTTCTACATCAACGGCAATTAGTGGTCAGAGTTCGGAGCTCTTTAGCTGATCCCATACAAGTTGAGTGTGGTGTGCCGCAAGGCTCAGTTCTAGGTCCACATTAGTTTTCGGTGTTTATTAATGACCTTACACAGGGAATCGCTTCAAACTTCCCAATGTTTGCCAACGATATCAAGATCTGGCATAGGATTCAGGCGAACGCCGACCAACATGTGTTTCAGAGTTACTTAGATACAGTGTATCAATGGTCGACCAAAAACCTATTGCATTTCAACGTCAGTAAATGCAAGGTGCTTTCCATCCGACATCATGGCAGCTACTCACACCGACTCGGAACGCATGTACTGCAATAATCAACTCTCGAACGTGACTTGGGTGTACTGGTTCAAGATGACTTGGGTTGCTCCAGGCAATCCGAAAAGGCCTCGAAGACCGGGAACCAACACGTCGGGCTGTCGCGGCGGGCGTTTGGACAAATAAACAGCTCCATATTTTGACAAATGCTCGGTGCGTATGTTCGCTCCCATGTCTAATATGCAATTCATGTCTGGCATCCATAGCTGAAACACGACCTTAGTGCACTGGAGCAGCCACAACGCCGGGCACCTAAGAAAGTAATTGGAATGCGCAATCTTTCCTACCAGGAGGGGCTGCAACGACTGAGATAGTTCAGTGGAAGGTATCGCAGACTACAAGGCGGCCTGATTATGGCGTACTTGATTCTACGAGACCCACATCATGTGTGCTGCCCTTTACGGCAACTCAGCAGTAATACAAACCTAAGGCGCCACTCATTAAAACTCGCAGAACACTACGGTCATCCGGGGTGCCGCAGAAATTTCTTTTCCAATCGTGTCTGTCACCTGTGGAAGGCTCTCTCAGAATTGGTCTTCTATGCACCAACACTAACAGTATTTAAAAGACGGTTGGACGATGCACTCATCCACGTACACTAAGTTACTTAACGCTACATCTCCACCCTCCACCTGGAATTTACCATGGAATTATTTGTTGTTAACTGTGGGTGTGGTGAATCTAAGAGCATCGCGGGACTACAGAGAAGCAAACGATAAGTTCTTAATGAATATAGGTATATTTCTAGACAAGCGCTAGATGCTGTTCCTGCGTGGGATCAGGTCAAATTGTACATAACATCCATGCTCATGCATGGAGAAGAAATATCTTTAACAACTGCTTTTGATCGTGTTTATCTTTCCGAACAGTAAAGCAGGGATAAATACAAACGTTTCGTAGACCTCGACATTTTTGAAGGCAGTAGTTTGGGTCTCCGTAGCTTATGTACGAATTCTGCGCTTTTCACCGGCTACCGCTGCCAAACCTTGAGGTGCCTGATTCCATTAGTAAACGATCAATCTATTATGCCAATGGATTGTGTTATTTTCGATGGAAAATGCACCACTAGAGGAAATTTGCTCCATTTTCTTTGCTCAAATCACCGCATTTCGAGCATCCATTAGTAGCGGGCTCATGGAAAGGAATAAGCAAGCCAAAATTAGATCGTAAAACTGGAGGGTGGAAACAAGGAAAATAACAGTAGTGGCTAACAATTTAGCCTTTCTTAGAAAAGGGCGACTGAAAGGCCGGCCCACTTAATTAGAAAATACACTAATATTGGAAAATGGAGCCAAAATATAGCCCAGAAACAGCATACCAGAACCGCAAACCTGGCGCGAATTTCAAAGTGTAAATCTCCAAACAAGCGGAATCAACGCCGTTTTGGAGCCGAAATGTTAACTAAAACGGAACAACAATGGAAAGGCTAGGACAAACCCTAGGCGCTGGTTACGACAAAGGTAAAGTAATTAAGCTAGGTGCAGTGGTTATGGAGATATTTGTATTTTTGGCGGTCGGCTGCTTTTAGCGCCATTTTCGAGCCTCCGCTAAATTCACTTTCTGCTTTGGAAGCAGATACAGAAAAAAGAAAGAAAGAATGCAAAAAACGGCTAGGCGTAATAAGTTCCGAATATGGAGTAGTAACTGGGAATGCCTAAGATAACGTGTACTTCGCTGCAGTAGCGAAGTATGACGCAGTGGGCCGAAAAGCATACTTTCTCAGTAAACGTAGTAAAAGTTGGGAAAACAGACGGAAAGGTTTTAGGGAAATACTAGGTAGGCTGTAAGATTTATTATATAGGTAGAACAACACAGGATATGGTTTAGCCAGCCCACAGCCAGAATGCGACCATGTGCGATTTTCAGAGTATATTGGGCCGCAGAATCCACTATGAATGTGGAATTCAACGTTTTTTAATGCTCCGATGTGGATGCGAAAATTATACCAAAGACGCATGAGGTGAGTCCATATGGATAAGACAGGGGAACCTAGAAGTCATTTGCCCCGTCTTAACTAGGATAACGCAAGCATTTCCCACAGAAATATTACCAGTTTCGACTCTTTGAGGCTCACGGATCACTACCTGGCGAAATTACCCCCAACTTGTGTTTTGACGGATTTTTGCGCGCCACAGCGTCATAAGGTCCCCGGGTCTGACTATTACCTGACAGTATGCTCACTCATACGAACAACATCTTTTCTTTCATACCTTTCATTAAAACGAAATGTTTTAACATTCCACAGAAGCTATGCTTGTATGCATAGTTGATCACGCCTTTACAGGTGTGTCTCGTTTTACCGAGAATATACTATTTATTTATTTATTTTATACGTCATTATGGTTGTATCACTGACACTAATGAGCCAGGGTGGTCTTCCAGTGATACTAAAAAAACTAATGTGAGAAAATTCCCAAAATGTGTCCAGGTAAGAAACACCTTGGGTTCCGCTTTGGTTAGACACGAATACCACTTCTTTTGGGGGTTGCGCCATCTCAAGCATGACCGATTAGTGGGTCACAGGTGCTAAAGCACACAACTGTGCATTAGGTTGCCAGATTAGAGCTCTATTTCTTTTAGCTGAGAGTCGGATGCAAGTGCCTGTGGTGTTGGACCAGAATAACGCAATCGTTCCCTGGAGAAACATCATCATATTTAAAGTAGTAACTACTTTACTGTCCTTATTATCATTATTGTTATATTGTAAAGCAAAGCTTCCTAACCCGTTTAAATGCATGGTTCATTGTTCATTGTTCAAATCGCGCCTCGTTAAACGAATGACATATTGAAGACGCATAAATGCACGCATCTCTTGCCTCCGACGAAAGGTTTTCCTCAAGCTCAGCACCATTCTTCCCGTTGCTCTGTTAGCCACGGAATTTAAGCATACAGCCAAGGCTTCCCCACGTGAAAATCGTGGGATCGGCTCCGACAGGTGTATCCAACCTCGGAACCTCCCCCTTCAATACTGTCAAAGCCCGGGTAGGGCAATTGCAACACCGGTAAATGTTAAAAATTCTGAGGCGGAAAAACAACACTTACTACCTTCCAACAACGTTCGATCGCACTTTATGCATGCAAATAAACTGAATATATCGGTACCAGCATCCTTCCAGAAGCACCTCTCCAGTTTCCCTTTAGTTAGTCTTCGCAGTAATAATACTCCGACGAAGAAATGATGTCGCCTTTTCAAGCCAAAACGTCGAAAAACCTTAGGGATGGCTGAAAAGTCCAGATATGAACCCTTGAAGATAGGTCGGAACAACCTAAAGTCATACACCATGGCTGCTGTCGCTAGAAGCGGGAGAATGATTGGCCACCGTAACCCACTTAAACCGTTTGTTATGATCATTTAGCATTCCACCCTTAGCACGTTAAAATGATTTGCGCATAATAATAAACCTACTCATGCACCGAAAAGCCCCATAGTTTCCTTTATCAACAAAAAACCTTGCGCACCACAACCTTGTGTAGTCAAAGTTTCTTTGGCAGCAGAGGGTAGCTTATTGACAGCGATTGCAGGTTGTTTTTAGAAAATAGTTTATGTAGCCGAATGTTACGTGGCAAAATCGATGTAAGTTATTTTTTATTGCTAACGGTAATCGCAGTTCACACTGTGCCACTAGGTGGCACGCAACCGAGACGCTGTTCAGGATATAAGCTATGCGGTTTGGTACGGTTGCTGTTGTCCGATGAGCAAATGAGTGACGAAAAATAATAACGTGATAACTACCTGCAGGTGAAGTAGCGGATGTATATGTTCATGGACTATCATTATAATGATACTTCATTAGAACTTATTTATATATTATAGCCCTTATTAATTCAGTAATGTATTACCTATATTTCAAATTTATTATTTTTATATATTTTTATATTTATGAAAAATTGCTAACTACTTGTATCTAAGCTTGCCTATGTCTACGGCCATAGATTTCCCTTATAATGTAGCTTCAATAAAAAATTAAATTTGTCTATCACATTGTATTAATTTTGCACTCTTCGCAAATGTGTTCACCAGCATTTAACACCATTTTTGTTTATTTCATCACTGCTTTCCATCCTGCCATATGGGCTTATGAAAGTACAGCTGATTCACAGAACGCCTACTGCAAAACGCTTTCTTGCTAGTCCGTTGCTTACTGGTTGCCACAAGCAGGGGCAGGGTAAAATGTTCCCTATGGCAGGTTGGAGGCACGCTTGAGAAGCCACAGCTACAAATAAACTGCACCTGAGACGCAGCGACCGAGTAACTAACGCAGTAACTCCTACGAAACAATAGTCATGCAAGACGACGATGCTCCAATGAGCCGGATACGGGAACGAGCGAGTAGGACCGAAACCGATGTATCCAACAGTGCGTCATGCGAAGTGGGTGGTACACGGCTGGCACGTATATAAACAACGCTTTAGAAGGAACAGGTTTTGTGGCTTGGCTTTAGAATCCCTTCCGTCATTGTGCATTCGGTCCACGAAGTCCCCAAAACATGCAAAGAAGAGATTAGTAATGGCGGTCAATTTAAACAATACCTTTCAATCGTACTACATTTTCTCCTCTTCTATTTAAGGTATTGTCCCCAGTGCCAGCTCTTCTGGGACCACAGCGAGGCCCCCATCTTGCACTGCCACAGTGTGTTCCACTATCATGAGACAACTGGGAGGGGATTCCATCTACGGGAGTAGAAGGTGGAGACCGTGTCATCGGTTATTAGTTGGTTGTGTTGAAAGATCAGTAAGTCGGCGTTTGGAC